TCCGGCCACGCGCGCAGCTCCGGCCACGCGCACAGCTCCGGCCACGCGCACAGCTCCGGCCACACGGCAGCAGAGATGCCGGGCTGCGAGGAGCTGTACAGAGACCGGTGAGGTGAGCCTTTGGGACACCACCTGGCCTGGTTGGACAAGGCCACCAGCACACGGGAGCCAGACGCCACCCCCCCATCCTCCTGTTCACCTCGCTCCCCCTTCAGCCCTCTTCAGGGGGTTTCTGACGGGAACCTTCTACAGGCAGAGCCAGCCTGGCGGCCCCAGCTGGGAACCGTAGGAGCTAGCCAGGGGCACAGAGGAACGGTTTTCTGCTCCCAGGGCCTCCCCAGTCCGAAGGAGACGGTGGGAGGGGCTTCGAGCCATCCCAGCGCCTGAGCAGGCTCCAGGCTCCGTGGGAAGGGGGCATGTGGCCCGCAGGGCTGGGCCGCGCTGCATGTCCTGCCCCACGTCCTCTCCCAGCCGGGCTCAGAAAGCCCCCGAGGTCTGCCCAGAACCGCCCCTTTCTCCAAGGAACGACGCTTCAGCCACGAGGGCTGCAGAGCTCGGCTTCAGCGCCTGGGCAGCACGGTGGCTCCAGCAGACTCAGGCAGCATCTCGGTGCGGTTTCCAGGTGTCCAGTTGTCGCCCAGATGTTCAGTATTCGGGTCCCCCGTGCGGTAAAAACCAACAGACCGTACTGGAGATGTGCAATGTCCGGTATTTCCTGTGTCCCGCGGACAGAAGCCCGGTGGGGACAATTTTCCCCTGGGGCGGGGGAGTGAGGAGCGTGGGGGCATTTAAAGGCAAGTGCCCCCCCTTTCTTTTTTGCTTAACAACTTTGGTCTCCCCCTTTTTTTTTTCTCTCAACAGAATTTTTCCCCGGTGTTTTTCTTTGGGGGGGGAGCTGTTTGGTATTTTTGGTTAAACCATCTGGCACCCCTACCTCTGGGCCCCGCGCTCTGAATCCCGGCCTGCTCCGTGTCTGATCAGCGCCTGCTGCGTGAGGGGAGACCCCGGCACCCCCGGGGCTAATCACCCCGAGGGCGCCATTTCCCCCGGCACTGCCCGCAGCTCCAGAGCGGTCGGCCGTGGGAGGGCTGCGTGAGCTGGGGCAGGCTGGGTTTCCAGAGGGGCCGAGTCGGACCCAGTGACACGGGACTTTCCGAGGCTGGGCTGGGCCGTGGCCTGTCCCCAGGGCTGAGGGCTTTCTGGTGCGCTTGGCCCAGCGTGCTCGCCGTGGGAACGCCCCTTTTCCGTGTCACGTCTGTGGAGAGCAGCCAGGCCCCAGTGCCGGCCTCACGGCCCCTCCTGTGTGGTGCAGGCTGGGAGCCGCTCTGGGCTGGAGAACGGGGCTGCACCATCCCCTCTGGGGTCGGGCCCGGGGGGCCAGAGGGAGGGGACCATGGCAGAGACGGGCAGGCTGAAGTCTCCAAAAGCGGCGAGGAGCCCGGTGGCACCTCAGAGACTCACCGGAGTGTTGGAGCAGACGCCTTCGTGGGCAAACACCCGGACGTGCATCTGGCCAAGTGGGGCTTTGCCCACGGACGCTCATGCTCCAAACCCTTCGGTTAGTCTATGGTGCCGCAGGACTCCTCGCCGCTTCTGCAGTCAGGCTAACACGGCGACCCCTCTGATACTTGAAGTCTCCAAGGGGACCCAGCCCAAGAGACGGGGGCAGGGCCCAGAAGAGAGCAGGGTCCCCAAGAAGGGCCGTGACACCAGAGGGGACTCCCTGGGAAGGGGCCGTGGCGCCGGAGGGGGCTCAGTGGGAAGGGGCTGCGGCGCCGGAGGGGGCTCCGTGGGAAGGGACCGTGGCCAGAGGAGGCTCCGTGGGAAGGGGTCGTGGCAGTTGAGGGGGCTCCGTGGGAAGGGGCCGCGGCGCCAGAGGGGGCTCCGTGGGAAGGGGCCGCGGCGCCAGAGGGGGCTCCGTGGGAAGGGGCCGCGGCGCCAGAGGGGGCTCCGTGGGAAGGGGCCGCGGCGCCAGAGGGGGCTCCGTGGGAAGGGGCCGCGGCGCCAGAGGGGGCTCCGTGGGAAGGGGCCGCGGCGCCAGAGGGGGCTCCGTGGGAAGGGGCCGCGGCGCCAGAGGGGGCTCCGTGGGAAGGGGCCGCGGCGCCAGAGGGGGCTCCGTGGGAAGGGGCCGCGGCGCCAGAGGGGGCTCCGTGGGAAGGGGCCGCGGCGCCAGAGGGGGCTCCGTGGGAAGGGGCCGCGGCGCCAGAGGGGGCTCCGTGGGAAGGGGCCGCGGCGCCAGAGGGGGCTCCGTGGGAAGGGGCCGCGGCGCCAGAGGGGGCTCCGTGGGAAGGGGCCGCGGCGCCAGAGGGGGCTCCGTGGGAAGGGGCCGCGGCGCCAGAGGGGGCTCCGTGGGAAGGGGCCGCGGCGCCAGAGGGGGCTCCGTGGGAAGGGGCCGCGGCGCCAGAGGGGGCTCCGTGGGAAGGGGCCGCGGCGCCAGAGGGGGCTCCGTGGGAAGGGGCCGCGGCGCCAGAGGGGGCTCCGTGGGAAGGGGCCGCGGCGCCAGAGGGGGCTCCGTGGGAAGGGGCCGCGGCGCCAGAGGGGGCTCCGTGGGAAGGGGCCGCGGCGCCAGAGGGGGCTCCGTGGGAAGGGGCCGCGGCGCCAGAGGGGGCTCCGTGGGAAGGGGCCGCGGCGCCAGAGGGGGCTCCGTGGGAAGGGGCCGCGGCGCCAGAGGGGGCTCCGTGGGAAGGGGCCGCGGCGCCAGAGGGGGCTCCGTGGGAAGGGGCCGCGGCGCCAGAGGGGGCTCCGTGGGAAGGGGCCGCGGCGCCAGAGGGGGCTCCGTGGGAAGGGGCCGCGGCGCCAGAGGGGGCTCCGTGGGAAGGGGCCGCGGCGCCAGAGGGGGCTCCGTGGGAAGGGGCCGCGGCGCCAGAGGGGGCTCCGTGGGAAGGGGCCGCGGCGCCAGAGGGGGCTCCGTGGGAAGGGGCCGCGGCGCCAGAGGGGGCTCCGTGGGAAGGGGCCGCGGCGCCAGAGGGGGCTCCGTGGGAAGGGGCCGCGGCGCCAGAGGGGGCTCAGTGGGAAGGGGCCGTGGCACCGGAGGGGGCTCCGTGGGAAGGGGCCGTGGCCGGAGGGGGCTCCGTGGGAAGGGGCCGTGGCCGGAGGGGGCTCCGTGGGAAGGAGGGTGTTCCACCGGGCCCACACGGGCAGGGCTTGTGAGACCCGACACCGGCCCACTTGGCAAGCTCTGCCCTTTGGTTTCTCTCTCCGGAGAGGGGAGCCGAGGCCGGGCCGGGA